GATCAAAAAATGTAATTGCAGATCATTCCATGAAATGTGAAAAATGACACTTTTTTTGACAAAATGGCAAGGGGTTAGCCCATCATTTTTAGCCAAATTCATAAATTTCAAAAAGCTCATTTTCATATTTTTTTTATCTCAAAGGTGTGTATGACCTCTGTCTAATCAAAAAATGTATTTGCAGATCATTTCATGAAATGTGAAAAATGACACTTTTTGATAAAATGGCAAGGGGTAAGCCTATCATTTTTGGCCAAAATTCATGAATTTGCAAATGGCCCATTTTCATATCTTTTTATCTCTAGAAGGTGTGTATGACCTTTGTCGGAATCAAAAAATGTAATTGCAGATCATTTCATGAAATGTGAAAAATGACACTTTTTTGACCAAAATGGCAAGGGGTTACCCATCATTTTTGGCCAAAATTCATGAATTTTGAAATGTCCCATTTTCATATCTTTTTATCTCTAAAGGTGTGTATGACCTTTGTCGGATCAAAAAATGTAATGTGCAGATCATTTCATGAAATGTGAAAAATGACACTTTTTGACAAAAATGGCAAGGGGTTAGCCCATCATTTTTTGCCAAAATTCATAAATTTGCAAAAGCTCATTTCATATTTTTTTTTTTTTTTATCTAAGGTGTGTATGACCTCTGTTTAATCAAAAAATGTATATTTGCAGATCATTTCATGAAATGTGAAAAATGACACTTTTTTGACCAAAATGGCAAGGGGTTAGCCCATCATTTTTGGCCAAAATTCATGAATTTGCAAATGGCTAATTTTCATATCTTTCATTTCTTAAAGGTGTGTATGACCTCTGTCGAATCAAAAAATGTAAGTTGCAGATCATTTCATGAAATGTGAAAAATGACACTTTTTTGACCAAAATGGCAAGGGGTTAGCCCATCATTTTTGGCCAAAATTCATGAATTTTCAAAAGTCCCATTTTCATATCTTTTCATATCTAAAGGTGTGTATGACCTCTGTCTAAAAAAAAAATGTAATTGCAGATCATTTCATGAAATGTGAAAAATGACACTTTTTTGACTAAAATGGCAAGGGGTTAGCCCATCATTTTTGGCCAAAATTCATGAATTTTCAAATGTTTCATTTTCATATCTTTTCATCTCAAGAAGGTGTGTATAACCTCTGTCTAATCAAAAATGATGTCATTTGGATCATTTTATGAAATTGAAAAATGACATTTTTTTGATAAAAATGGCAAGGGGTAAGCCCATCATTTTTGGCCAAAATTCATGAATTTTGAAATGTCCCATTTTCATATCTTTTTATCTCTAAGGTGTGTATGACCTCTGTCGAATCAAAAAATGTAATTGCAGATCATTTCATGAAATGTGAAAAATGACACTTTTTTGACCAAAATGGCAAGGGGTTAGCCCATCATTTTTGGCCAAAATTCATGAATTTGCAAATGTCTATTTTCATATCTTTTTATCTCTTAAAGGTGTGTATGACCTCTGTCGAATCAAAAAATGTATTTGCAGATCATTTCATGAAATGTGAAAAATGACACTTTTTTGACAAAAATGGCAAGGGGTTAGCCCATCATTTTTTGCCAAAATTCATGAATTTGCAAATGGCCCATTTTCATATCTTTTTTTCATCTTAGAAGGAGTGTATAAACTCTGTCTATTCAAAATATGTAATTTTAGATCATTTCATGAATTGTGAAAAATGACAATTTTTGACCAAAATGGCAAGGGGTTAGCCCATCATTTTTGGCCAAAATTCATGAATTTGCAAATGGGCCATTTTCATATGTTTTTATCTCTAGAAGGTGTGTTTAACCTTTGACCAATAAAAAATGTCAATTGCAGATCATTTCATGAAAAAAAATGTTAAAAACAACACTTTTTGACCCAAAACTGGCCAAAATTCATGAATTTTGAAATGTCCCATTTTCATATCTTTTTATCTCTAAAGGTGTGTATGACCTCTGTCGAATCAAAAAATGTAATTGCAGATCATTTCATGAAATGTGAAAAATGACACTTTTTTGACAAAAATGGCAAGGGGTTAGCCCATCATTTTTTTGCCAAAATTCATGAATTTGCAAATGGCCCATTTTCATATCTTTTCATCTCTAGAAGGTGTGTATGACCTCTGTCTTTTCAAAATATGTAATTTAAGATCATTTCATGAATTGTGAAAAATGACATTTTTGACAAAAAATGGCAAGGGGTTAGCCCATCATTTTTGGCCAAAATTCATGAATTTGCAAATGGCCCATTTTCATATCTTTTCATCTCTAGAAGGTGTGTATGACCTTGACCAATCAAAAAATGTAATTGCAGATCATTTCATGAAATGTTAAAAACAACACTTTTTGACAAAACTGGCAAGGGGTTAGCCCATCATTTTTGGCCAAAATTCATGAATTTTCAAATGTCCCATTTTCATATCTTTTTATCTCTAAAGGTGTGTATGACCTCTGTCGAATCAAAAAATGTAATTGCAGATCATTTCATGAAATGTGAAAAATGACACTTTTTTGACCAAAATGGCAAGGGGCCCATCATTTTTTGCCCAAAATTCATGAATTTCAAATGGCCCATTTTCATATCTTTTCATCTCTAGAAGGAGTGTATGAACTCTGTCTATCAAAATATGTAATTTTAGATCATTTCATGAATTGTGAAAAATGACACTTTTTTGACCAAAAATGGCAAGGGGTTAGCCCATCATTTTTGGCCAAAATTCATGAATGAATTTGCAAATGGCCCATTTTCATATCTTTTTATCTCTAGAAGGTGTGTTTAACCTTTGACCAATTAAAAATGTCAATTGCAGATCATTTCATGAAATGTTAAAAACAAACACTTTTTGAC